CCCCCCGCCGCCCCGCGCCTCTGCCAGCTCCTCGCCCGCCCGCGGTCGCTAGCTCTGGGGCCCCAGCTCCGGGTCCCCCTCGCTCGCCCAGCTCTTTCTCTGCTGTTTGCCCTGTCAAAACACTGCCTGGGTCACGTGTCCCAACAACAGCCAACCCACCGCTCGTCACTTCCTCCCCGGCGGCCCCCCGCTGCCCGGGCGCTTGGTTGTTATGGCAACGCTACCGCGCCGGGAGGGGAACGAGTCTGGGGGCTCAGTCTTCCGCCCAGGTACCCGGCGCGCACTAGGTCGCCGGAGGTGGCATCCAGGGCGGGCAGGCTGATCCCTGGAGGCCCGAGGGTCTCGGAAGCTCCGAGAGCTGCGGTCGCGCTCCGAGCCGCGGAGGTGCACTTCGGAGACCAGGAATCTGAGCTGTGCTATTAGAGCACAGGGTAACTGGGGAGATGTCATCCGAGGGCCTGCCCCAGACGGGAGGATAATTATAGTCTCCTCCTCCTGCTCCTCCTCCTCCTCCACCCCGGGTGCTGGCGCAGAACTCTGATCAAGCCCCAAGTGGATTGCAACGCACGGTTTGATGTGACCGGGACACTGGGGGTGGGGGCAGCCACACGTGTCAGGGAGCGAGAAGTTGAGAAGAAGGAAACCCCTGTCCCTCGGCCCTGGATTTTCCCAAATCGCTAGAGGTTTTAGTGGGATTCGGAACCCAAGCTTCCAAGGCAATGGCTGTGCTAAAAATAACTTTTATAACTTCTGAAACACTGACTCACGGGCTGCAGGACACTTTTGACACCGTGTTATTGTTGGGGAGCTGTAATTTTGTTGTTGTGCTATAACAATGTGACATGATGACACTTCGTATTGTGATGTTGTGTCATCATTTAAACACAAACAGATGACAAGAATCTGCTGTAGTTAAAAAAAGCAATCCTAACGAGAGCTGCAGCTATTAGCTACCCAGTTTAGAGACAAAGTGCATATGAGGCTGTGAGCCCAAATGTAGATATGGAGAAGTACGAAATTTGCAACCTTTCTTTTTTTTTAGAAATAATTTTGCATACAAGAATCACAACAGGAAAGTACTAAGACGGAACTAAGGGTGATTTTTTAAAATATTACTCTTTGGACTCATTCCTGAAGTTTTACAATAAACGTATTATTTTCATATCAGTTTTTGTAATGTACCACATTGGCTTTTTTTTTTTTTTTTTTTGCTTCAGACCAAATCCATGACATTTCTTTCGTGACAAAATGTTTTCTAAATGTTTAGATGTATACAGGAAAATACCATATACAGCTACCATATTAGCATGAACTCCAAGACTCTAATCAGAACAGAGCAGAGGGTTCCAGAGGGTCACAGTTCATTTTCTCCGAAATGTTCTGGCATCAGAAGATAAGAATTCTGACAAAACAAGAAGTTCCTTAATCTATGTAATAGCAACAAACATTAACTTGCAGAGCACTGAATTTTGATATTATTGAAGACCGTATTGTGTAGTATTTAAAAAGTTATCTGAAGTGTGACTTGTTCTTCAAAGCCGGTTCTCAATTAACATTGGTAATGGGAGACAGAGAGAAGTTACAGATAATCCAAAATCCTAAATTTAGCACAACAGCTGGGACCAGATAACAGCTATTGTAAAAGGCTTAGTGGGTGAACAGGCAGCAAGATCTGTGATTTAGTTCCTCTCCCTTGGCCTGATTTGCAAGCAGTATTTATCAAGACCAGAAACATGTCAAGAGCAGAGAAGTAGAGAAATTGCGTGTAAACTGTTAGAGAAATGGGGGCATAAACTACTGTGTTTTAAATAATGAAGTTTTAACAGCACATTGGTAAATGATGTCTGAACATTTGAGCATTTCAAGTTATTAAACTAACTTGAAATTCTTTTTTGGGAATGTTAAATCTCTTAAAATGTTGAGATCATTATGAAAGTAGGAAAAGTATTTTATAGGAAGTTATATTTATTATAAAACTCATTATTCAAATATTGTTTCATTCATGCAGCACACATTTGCTGAACCTTCACTACTTGCTAGGTACCTTCTAGTCTTGAAGAATATGAAGGTCACTGAAAACCAGACAAGGTCAGTACTCTCATGGAACTCACAGCACTATTATAATTATTACAACATGATCAAGTCACATTCGACAGCCTTAACCTATAAAAAGAAGGCAGTTAGACTCTGATAGTAAATAATCCCTTGTTCTTTTTTTAAGAAGTTTTTACTTGAGGGCACGTGCACTCACTAGAAAAACAGAGACAGAGAGACAGAAAGTGAGAAATCACCCCCCAGGGGGGATGGCCACATTGCAATCCCTTCTCCTCCATTCTCCTCTTGGGATCTTGGGCACGCAAGCACATGCACCCAGTGTGAGTTTAAGCCACTGGGTCCGGGACTCAAACCGTAGTTGACTATATGGGAGTCCAACAATATAGCCATTATGCCAAATGCTGGCCTCCCTAGTTACTTTAATTGCCAGAGGGCACATGTGATTCAGAGAGACAGGAGAGATTTCCCCCCTCCATTTCATTGCAGTCCTTTCCTCTGTGTAATCCCTTCTCCATTGCAACATGGAGATTTGGGGCAGGCCCGCACATGTGCTGGAATTCATATTGCTCAGCCAGCCATGTGGGATCTGGCTGCCTTAACTAGTAGGCTAGGGGGCTGGCCCTGTTTCTAATTCTAAAACAATCCTAATATTGTATAAAACATCTGTAAGATCATTGGAAATAGGGACCTAAAGTGACAACTCTAAATATTGGCGATCAGTTTCTGTTTATACTAGGACAACCAAGCAGAATATCTTAGCTATATCTAGTTCCTACTTGGTGAGGATAAGGGTGGGTAATGCAAAGAGGTTAAGACACCCGGCAAGAAACTTACTGTTTTTTCATTTGATTTGCTCTCTATTTTCCCTTTCCTTAATGTTCCAAAAGCATGTAGGTAACTTCAAAATAAGTATCTAATCCTCAGTAAGAAAGTCCATCCTTTAACTTTTACAAGTTCTGTAGAAATCGACATTGTATAATAAAACCATACTTAATGAATGTCTCTAAGTTCAGGCAATGAGGATAACTGGTTTGTTCACTTTATTAATACAAGGCTGTTATATTGACCAAGGTCATGGAACCTCTCCAGAGCTACCAGAATAAGCCCCACTAGAGCAGAGACTACTACTTTTTTTTTTTTTTCCAGATATTTTTGCTTAGGGTGTATGTGCTTGCTAGAAAGACAGAGAAGGACAGAGAAACAGAAAGTGAGAAATCACCTCCTGTGGGGATGGCCAAACTGCAGTCCCTTCTCCTCCATTCTCCTCTCAGGATTTTGGGCACACACGCACAAGCACTCAATGCAAGTGTTTTTTGTTTTTTGGTTTTTTTTTTTGAGAGATTTTTCACTGTAGGGCGCGTGCGCTCGCCAGAGAGACAGAGAGAGACATAGAGACAGAAAGCGAGAAATCACCCCCCAGGGGGGATGGTCACGCCGCAATCCCTTCTCCTCCATTCTCCTCTCGGGATCTTGGGCACACACGCACACGCGCCCAGCGTGAGTTTTTAAGCCACCGGGTCCGGAACACGAACCGCGGTCGACTACGTGGGAGTCCAGCGACATAGCCATTACACTAACTGCTGGTTCCCTCAATGCAAGTTTTAAGCCACTTGGCCTGGGATTTGAACCACAGCCAACTCCATGAGAGTCCAGTGACATAACCATTACTCCATCTGCTGGTCCCGGGACTAGTACTTTTTTTTCTTTTTGTATCCTAGTAGCTCGCAAAAGACCTCATACAGAGTAGGAGCTCAATAAATGTCAACCTTTTGACTAATTTTTCTTGAACATTTCTACAATTTGTATTCTAAATACTGGCTGGTATTTCCTTGCTAGTGAGATAAAGCTAGAGTTGGGAAGTTCTGGGGTGGTACAAACTTTATCTATAAAGGATACCTTTTCATTATACTTTGTACTTTGGGGATTGTCTCAAAATAGCAGGAACTCGTAGGTTGAATTGTGTCCCTCCCAAAAAAATAGAAGTCCTATCCCCCACACACTTTTAATGTGACCATTTTTGGAAACAAGGTCTTTGAAGATGTTGTCAACTTAAGAATAGGTCATATTGGATTAAAGTGGGCCCCAAATCCAATGACTGGGATTTCTTTCTTTCTTTCTTTTTTTTTTTTTAAGAGATTTTTTGCTAGAGGGCACATGCACTGGTGAAAGAGACAGACAGAAAGTGAGAAATCACCCCCCAGGGGGATGGCCATGCACCAATCCCTTCTCCTCCATTCTTCTCTTGGGATCTTGGGCACACACGCACACATGCCCAGTGTGAGTTTTAAGCTACCGGGTCCAGGACTCAAACTGGGTTCTACTACATGGGAGTCTAATGACATAACCATTATGCCATCTGATGGTCTTTTAAGAAGGGATAGATTTGGGAACCAACAGTTAGCATAATGGCTGTGTCGCTGGACTCCCATGTAGTCGACTGCGGTTCGCATCCTGGACCCAGTAGCTTAAAACTCACGCCGGGTACGTGTGCGTGCGTGCCCAAGATCCTAAGAGGAGAATGGAGGAGAAGGGATTGTGGCGTGACCATCCCCCCTGGGGGGTGATTTCTCGCTTTCTGTCTCTATGTCTGTCTCTGTCTGTCTGGCGAGCGCACGCGCCCCATAGCAAAAATCTCTCAAAAAAAAAAAAAAAAAGGGATAGATTTGAGGACAAGGAGATACAGGGAAGATGGATGGCCATGTGACTAGGAAAGTAATCAGAGGTTCCGTCAGGTCACTAAAATAAGCAGATCTTTAATTCTATAAAAGTTATAGTAAATCAATTACAAATGTTAAGATCTCTCAAGTGTCAAAAAAGAACAACTCTATGACCCAAAGCTAGAGGATCATGTATTAGTTGTTGAGAATCATCAAGTGAAAATATATTGTACTACCTTAAATTGGGCAATCAGAAATTCTTTTTTGGGGACCAGCAGTTGGTGTAATGGCTATGTTGCTAGACTCCCATGTAGCCGACCACGGTTTGAGTCCCAGACCCAGTGGCTTAAAGTCACGCCAGGTGTGTGTGCGTGCGTGCCCAAGATCCCAAGAGGAGAATGGACGAGAAGGGATTGTGGTGTGGCCATCCCTCTGGGGGGGGGGTGATTTCTCGCTTTCTGTCTCTCTGTCTCTCTCTGTCTTTCTGGCGAGCACACACGCCTTATATAGCAAAAAAGCTATCTAAAAGAAAAAAAAAAGAAAGAAAGAAAGAAAGAAAATGATTTTTCATCAAAGTATAATGGAAATAAAGACTAGTAGAATTAATTTAAAGGTGTAGATAAATTTAGTCTTGAACAGTTAAAAGAAATGATGCACTTTCGGTCCCTGGGAAAGGTGAAATGTAAGCTCTCTTTTTCCACATCTAAATAATTTCTGTTTTTTTTTTTTTTTTTTTTTTTTTTTTTTTTTACTTAAGTGCAAGGCAATTCATTTCTTCTTACAAGAGGAAGATTGTGGAGTCATTACTAAGGCATTGGCTTCTGTAAACAACCCTCTTCCTTCCCTTCAGCTGATTGGCTGGTTTGTCTTTTTGAAGATCCTGTTTCTCTACCCTCCATAGTCACAGGTATAAGGAAGTGAAAAATGATTTTTTTTCTGGTAGTTACCTACAGACGTGACTGTAGTACTTACAAATACAGAGGCCTCTAAACTTCAAGTCAGGGAAACTTTTAATTGCCTTGAAGTTTTGGCTGGAGGTTCTGGGCTACCAAGACTAAAAGATTTTTTTAAAAATTTGTAATAATTGCTCACTTATGATGGAATTACATTCAACACTTCACATGTATATTTGACCCTAAGAGGGTGATTCTCTCTTATGGATTAGGAAATAAAGGCTCAAAAAAGCAGGTAACTTCCCAAATCTATGATAACAAATGGAGGAGCCAGCAGGTAGCGTGGTGGTTAGGGGTGCTGGACTCCCACATGGCCAACCCTGGGTCAAGTCCTGGACTTGGTCGTTTCTTTCCTTCTCTCTCTCCCCGCCCCCTTCCTCTCCAGTCAAATTAAAATGAATAAATAAATAAATAAAATTCAATAAAATAATTTAAAAAAATAAATAGAAGGGGCCTGCTTCCTGACTGGGCTCATTAATTTCCATCACCAGCTTGAAGTAAGTTAAATATTCCCAAAAATGTTAAATTAGGGTTCAGCAACATTGAGAAATAGCTGTACATTTAGAATTTCAATGGACTGATATAAACTTAGGCTCAAGGCTTCAAGATACTAATTCTATAATAAATAGAATGACTCTGATTTATCTGTAAATGCCAATGAGCAAATGGTCACACTCAGATAATAACAGCAGCTAAAATTTCCTGAGCACTGAAGTATTAATAGTAAGCATTATTCTGAGTGCTTTACATGTACTAGTCCATTTAATCCTCACGACATCCCTAGGAAGTATTATTATCCCTATTATATAGCCGAATAAACAGGAAAGGGGAAGTTAAATAACTTACCCAAGGTCAAGCAATTAGTCAGTGACACAGACAGGATTCACACCCCAGAAACATGACTTTGGAGCACAGGTTCTTTTTATTTATTATTTTTTTCTATAGGGGTGCATGTGCTCACCAAGAGAGATAGAGAAAGTGAGGGAAAGTGAGAAATTATCCCCAGGGGGATGATCTTGCCACCATCTCTTCTCCTCCATTCTACTCTCAAGATTTGGGGCATGCATGAACACACACCTGGTATGACTTTTCAAGCTCCCAAGTTGCTTCCAACCATAATTGGCCATGTAGGAGCCCAGTGCTGTAACCACTATGCCACCTGCTTCACCACCCCAGTCACTTTTTTAAAGAATTATTTCCCTTATTTTATTTTTCATTGTTATTTTTTTCAGATTTTTAAAATTATTTTAAATAACCATTACACTAACTGCTGGTTCCCTTTTTTTTTTTTTTTTTAAACTTTGAATTGCAGGATCAGCAGTTGGTGTAATGGCTATGTCGCTGGACTCCCATGTAGTTGACCATGGTTTGAGTCCCAGACCTGGTGGCTTAAACTCACACCAGGCATGTGTGCATGCATGTCCAAGATCCCAAGAGGAGAATGGAAGAGAAGGGATTGTGGCGTGACCATCCCCCCAGGCAGTGATTTCTCGCTTTCTGTCTCTCTGTCTCTCACTGTCTTTCTGGCAAGCGCACACGCCTTATAACCAAAAAAAATAAAAATAAAAAAATAAATTGCTATACATCATTTGTCTTGTAAAGAGAATTTACAAAACATGAGCTACTTCTCAGACCAGTTCAGTTAAGAATACTATACATGCTATCATCAACAGGTAATAACCCATTTCTGTATCCCACAAATGTCATGCCTTTCTATTTTTTCTCCTGCTTTCCTTTTCTATATTATTGTTATTTTTAATTTGATCATAGCAACACACACACACAGAGAGAGAGAGAGAGAGAGAGAGAGAGAGAGAGAAAGCATGCTGTCAGGTCCAGGATTCGAACCACAGTCAGCCTGTGGGAACTCAGTGTCTTTAACCACCACACCACCTGCTCCTAGAGTCATTTTTAAAACTAAATATGTTTGGAACAATTTGAGTATTTGAAACTATTTTCAACCGCCAAATTTAGGAAATCTGTACATAGCTTATCATGTGCTTCTAATGAAAATGTAGCCTCCAATTTGAAATGTGTATAAGGTGTAAAAATACACACCATATTTCAAATATTTAGTAAAGAAAAAGTAAAATATTAATACTTTTAAAATACTGTTACATGTCAAAGCGATAATATTTTAGATATATTGGGTTTATCTTTTTTTTTTTTTTTCCTGTAGAGTACCGCACTGGCTGTAGAAAGGGAGAACAGGGGAACACACACACCTCCCCCCCAGGGAGGATGGCCATCTCTCTTTCACTTTCCTTTTGGAATTTTGGGCAGGTATGTGCATGTACTCAGCTTGTCTTCCGAGCCCCTAGGTCCAGGACACTAACTGTAATCAGTCATGTGGGATCCAGTCACCTCAACCATAATACTGCTGGCTGGCTCCTAGAAAAATGTACTTTTATTGCCAGAGGGTGTGATTGCTAGAGTGGGAGAAGGAGAAAGCACCCCCCAATGGATTTGACCTAAACACATCTGTCATGCCAGCAGGTAACGCCTCATTTTGGTTGACTGTAAGGCTGGGGAAAGATCAAAGCATAGTGAGACCCTTGTCTGCCTCTCTTTTATGAAGGAAATTTAAGAAAAATAAAACTTAAAAAAAGCAGTGATATCTCTTTCAAAATGTACAGTATAAGCTAAATGATCAGATATTACAGAAAAAAAAATGGAACAGAGTGTTACCCTACATAAAGGTTTAAAGACCCACCTTCATGGCACAGAAATAATGTACTGCTTGAGAGAAGCCAGTCCCTGGGACCCGCAGTTGGTGTAATGGCTATGTCGCTGGACTCCCATGGAGACCCAGGGTTTCTTTCTTTTCTTTTCTTTTTTTTTTTTTTTGAGAGGTTTTTTGCCATAGGGTGCGTGCGCTCACCAGACAGAGAGAGACAGAAAGCGAGAAATCACCCCCCAGGGAAGATGGCCACACCTCGATCCCTTCTCCTCCATTCTCCTCTCGGGATCTTGGGCACACACACGCGCCCGGCGTGAGTTTAAGCCACCGGGTCTGGACGTGAACTGTGGTTGACTACATGGGGAGTCCAGCGACATTGTCATTACGCTAACTGCTGGTCCCAAGATCCAGATTTGAGTCCCAGACCCAGTGGGGATTATGGCATGGCCATCCCTCTAGGAGCAATTTCTCACTTTTTATCTCTGTCTCTTTCTCTGTCTCTCTCTCTCTGGCGAGCGCACGTGCCCTATAGTAAACCACCCCCCCCCAAAAAAAAAGGGAGGGAGAAGTCAGTTCCCACACAAAGACTGAGGTCTGAATCCCTAACTGTTCCACCCAAACACTGGGCACCACACAACTGCCCAAGATCTAATGGGCTGAGCGACTAGAGTAGGGATTACTGAGTAACCAGACCCTGCAGAGGGTGTTCTTCTCTT